GTTATATACAATGGTGACTTCTGGTCACAACCAAGAGAAAAGCTGTCAACAGTGCGGAGCAACACCCCAGCCAGTGCCAGCCCATCCACCAGCTCTCCCAGAGTAGGCCTGGGACAAAAGATTGTCCTTACACTAACATCCTTTGAAAACAATTAGCTCAAAAAAGCATGTGTGATTTCTCACAAGTAGTTTACTCATTCTCAGATGACAAGGACATTTTCACAAATACAATTTACGCTGGCATCTCAAAGACTCCAAAGCACCTCAGTGCACGTCAAGGGACATTAAGTCCAAGCAATGCATGTGCAGCTCTTCATCTAAGAAGGTTCACAACGGTATGTGGAGAAACAGACAAGATCACAGCAAGGGTTTCTGCTAAAGCCACTTTTACACAGTTAATGAAAAGGCCTGATTTATGACACCTCCCTTTGTGAACCAGGTCTGAGGGGCAGACGTCCCACACTGAGGCTTCATCAATAGACTTCGTCAACAGGCTACTTATAGTGACTAGTAGTGGCTTGATATGTAACAGCAACAACAATGAATGACAATGGTTTTTGTCTTCTGAGATTCTTTTGCAGATCAACAAGAGATTCTACAATTCGGCTTCTGAGTGCTAGGCTTGATCTTTGTAGTCGTTTCCTTTGATATCTAAGAAGTCAAGTCCAATACTGTAAACTGGTTTTTCCCAAAACATGGAGTAGGTGTCACTTCCCAACATTAATAGCATTAAATCACAAGTGCAGCTTTCTCCCTTTCCAAATCTCTTCCAGCTCCTATAGCAGCAGCACCCTGTGCGTGGATGACACTTGTTGTGGCCACTCTGCTGCAAGCCAGCACCGGCACGGGCATCAGCACAGGAGCCGATGGTCTTCTTTTCACTCTGTTTTACATTTACTATCTTTTGGTCAACACGCTTTATGGCTCTACAATCTTTTCTTTATAAATGGATTTATTTGAATGAAAGCGGTTTAATTTAAAGAAAGATTTTCTTGTGCAAATATGCTAGCCAATAATAAGCCAGAACTTGATGCCAAGTTTGAGAAAAGATGGCTGAGCCCCATGTTACTATGGTGGCCTTGCTCAAGATTCAAGTTGACTGAAAATGTTAACAAGTAGATCAGCCTAACTCGTCTAAGGCAGAATCACTTCGACGGCTGACTTTTGAGCAGCGATTCTAAATGTGGTACCTGTCCAAACTGAATTAGCAGGGCTCATCTATTTCCTGAAAGATACCCGTGTTTGCATAATTGAGAGAGAAATGAAGGCCTTCTTTATAGCCAACACAGCGACACAGCAGCACAGAGCAGTGTCACCTGCAATCTAGGGGAATCACTGGGAGGCCCACTTAGTATACACCCCAAAGGCACCCGACAACTCATTCCCTAACCTTACCCTGTCCCCATCTCTTCAGATCCAGAACAAACGTACGTAAACAGGACCACATGGTTTATTCTCTCCAGTGGCACAAGACCAACAAATGTATCAAATAACTGATCAACTAAGGTGCCCATCTTCTAAAGAATGGTGTTTATAGCTATAGGGAACATCACCATCCCAGCCTCCATCTACTTAAAAGGTTTACAATTGGGCCTGGTGGCACACACCTGCAATCCCAGAAACTCAGGAAGATGACACAGAAGGATCACAAGTTCAAGGCCAGCTTCGGCATCTTAAAACACTGCCTTGACTTTTTTTTAAAAAAAGGAAGGAGGTATGGGGATGTAGCCCAGTGATAAAGTGTTCCTGGGTTCAATCCCCAGTACTGCCAAAAAAAAAAAAAAAGTTCTAGAGGTATTAATGTGACATTTCCTGAATGTACGACAAGGACTTAAAAATTAGTTTAAAAAAGCAGGGGCCTCCTTTCATGGTTAGATTTGACAAATCTGAGTGACAATCTGTCATAGTGTGTGTCACTATGCCAGTCCTGGAAGTACACAGCAACAGCTCCACCAGAGTGGACCATATCTGCTGTGCAAGCAATGAATTCTGACCAGCTTGCGGGTCTGTACTGCCAACTCATGGGCTCTAACCCTGGAGATTCTGATGTGGTGATCTGAGTGGGCCTGGGGCTTCTGCCACTTAGAAAGCTCCCTGGATTCAGATGTGCAGGAGGCTTCAGGTCTATTGCCTCAAATTATATTTTAAAATCTGAAATTAGCAGTAAGAAGCATCTTGCTTTTAAAAATACTGAGTAACTGAGGGCATGTTGGACGAGTATTCCAAAACACTAAAGCACTGAGAAAACAGTATCACTGTGTAGTTCTAAGAAAGCAAGCAATCTATATGAAAGCAATCAGACTATGAGACCTGAAGATGCCAAAATGACACTACAATCACTCGCCATCACTGCAAGTGGAAATCCTGGTTAATCATTACTTCCCCCAAAGGCAGCTCACTACCGAAAGCATATGACCTCTTACTCCTCTGGATAATAAGTTGCTCGCTAATTCACAATAATTTTACCACTAACGTAAGTGATTTACACACGTCTTGCTGTCACACTAGTGTCCTTTCCTATACTGGCAGCACTGGTTTTAAAGGAACTGCCTGTTGAATTTTGTAACAACTGCTCATTTGTTCTTAAAAGTCACAAATGAATACCAGTGACAGGTGAAAGCTGCCCCCACATGTTCACCAATTTCATCCAAAAAGAGAAAAATTACATTCCCTCCCTTAGCAGGTACGAGTTCTTCCTAATATAGTCAGTCCACAACTTATAATAGTTCAACTTAGCCATTTTTTGACTTTACAATGGTATAAAAGCCATCTGGCATTCAGTGGAAACTGTACTTTAAATTTTAACCATTTCCAGTTTTTCCAGGTCATACAATTATCTCTTGTGATACTCAGGGGCAACAGCATCGAGCAGCAACATGGGGGGGGGGCGGTGGTGGGGCAACCACACCTGGTGGGTGGTGCTGCTAAGCCAGGGTGTTCAGTAGGTTAGATGGACTGATGCATTTGTAACTCAGGATACCTTCAACTCACCATGGGTTTATTAGGACGTAACTCCTCAGAGTCAGGGAGTATCGATACTCTAACAAACAAACTACAAGTCCCAGCCTGACTTTGCACACGGCTCATTCACACGTGCGTACATCAGTTGTGGCCAATGGCGGCTCTTGTGCAGCACATTCCAGGCTGCCTGGAATTTCCTGCCTCTGAGCTTACTCACATCACCCTGTTGTCAGCCTGGGGCCACCAAATACGGCATTCGGTGCACAAACTGTGCAGCCGTATGTGGCAGTCCTCTCTATTTCCATCCAAACACTTCCCATTAAGGGCACGACAGGTTATTTTAAAACAATATTTTCTGCATTTTCCACAATGGATATGTATTCCAAGTTTAAAAATTGAGAAAAAAATTACATGGGGAGAAACAACTCATTCTACTTCTCAAACCCTAACATGAAGGTTACTTTCTCTAAGGAGTCCTCCCCGAGTTACTATCTAGGACGATCTGTGTCCCTCCTTACTCTGAAGGCTATGACTGTGTTATGATACTAGACACACACTTCCTGCATCCATCCACAGCTGTGTCTTCAACCACCTGGCTCTCGCCCTCCCTCTTTTATCAGTCATACCCTAGGCCTGGGCTCACCTAGGTTTTTTCATTTAATTCCCCCCAATGAGGTGGGTATCACTCTCCCCATACTATGAGAAAGGACTCCAAGGCAAGATGACTTGCTCAAGCAAAGTAATAACATATTGCTTTGGGGGGGGGGTTGAATTTATTCATTTTATTTATTTTGAGAGTGAGAAGAGACAGCTCCCCCAGGGTAAGATGGGACCCAAAAAGGGTTGCCCTGTAAGTTTAAGTTTAAATCTAGGATATTCCAGCTTCAAAATCCTTAACTCCAAAGTACCTGCCAAATGACTAGCAGCCTTTCTGTTGCTAGCCTGAGTCTTTAGCAGAGAGAGTTTCTTACTAACTTTTTATCTCACTTTGGTGACTACCACAGGACCTCACCCAGAAGCAAGAACTCAGAACTTTTTGATGATTAAATATAAGATATACTTCTTGGAAAAAAATGTTGGGATGTTGATTATGATGGTGTGACTCATAAAACAACAGTAGTCCCTAAAAGTTCTGGCTTTAAGAACATCTCCAAGCTCCACAGTCTCCCCAGCTCTACTGCCAACTTGAGTCTCAGCCTAGTGCTACCTCTTGCCTCTGAACTCCTCTCCAGCAAATCACCCAGTGAGATGGAACTGTGTCACTCCCTTACACCAACCAACGCCCCACGCCGCTTCTTACCTTGGCCTGAGAGTTAGCAGGTTCTTGCCTCTAACTCTGGATTCCTCTAGCTCCCACCTTTCTCTCTTCACTAACCCTTCAGCCACAGTGGCCACCTCAGGACTGTGAGCTGGCTGTTCCCTCTGTATCAAATGCTCTTGTTCCAGAAGGCTGCCGGGGTTGCTCCTTTTTATCACTTAGGACTCAACTCCAGTTTGATTCCAAAGATGCTTCAGTTAAACTCTAATCTTAGAACTCACTGTTTTC